AGTTTGGCGTTTTTTTTCGCGGTCATTGACCTGATCCAAGGCCACCATATCCTGGAGAAGATGAGTTGTCGACCAAGCGGCATCGAATGGTGAAGGTGTGGTATCAATCGGTGCCATAGGCTCGGAGCATGTGGTTGTCCGGATTGGTCGGCCGCTGCTCCCTCCCGGCGGGCATTCACCACTCAGCCAGGGCCCGGTGCATCACCAGGGCTAATGGCCAGGACTCGCTCGAATTTCGACCAATTCACAGTTGTCTAAATTGCGGTGTTTGCGTCTCATTTCACAAGACATGTAGAAGGGTAACAGGACCTTTTGAACTAATATAGTTGAGCAATTCCATAAAGTAATTCATTATTGTCATGTCTGGGGAGACGTACAACTATGAGACTTGATTTTAAAGGTTTAAATCAATTTCGAGAAAAAAACTTGGGTTATCTTGATTTCAAAGGACTAATAAGTATCCCGCGCCAGGCTCCAGGTCGTGGGGGCTGTCCAATTTTGCATGGCGCCTAGTTTAATATTGCGGGGGCTCAACCCCACATTTGCGGGACAGATCAACACTGGGGCGTGACCTTCCTTCAAAGGAATACAAATTTCCACTCATGGAGGCGCCCTCCGTTATCCCCCCCTCGCCTATCGAAACTGGCGTGTTGACTGTTCACGCGCTGACGTCCTGGCCGTGGCGTGACATTTGGTGCCACCTACCAGCAATTGCTAAAACTACAAGTTTCAGAAACATCCGCCCCAAAGCATCATGGTGCCGTGGGTTACATTGTCAGCGATCACGAAGGAACTGGAAGACATTAGGACTGGATAGAGCGAGTAATTTTGTATTAATCAGATGTCAGAGATATCGATAAATGTGGGTTGCGTTTCGAGATCGCCCCGTCTCGCCTCGGCAACGCCACCATTTTACAGCCACCGGACATCGTACACTGATAAAGGCTGATATAGTTACATGTTTAAGCAGCGCTTTCTGATCATTGTGATAATCGCACGTTTTTCAATAATTTTCAAATGGATATTTTTTATATTTGATCGAGAAAATAAATGCTGTTTTGCTGTGCTTGAATATTGGTGTTCATCCGCGCGCCGTCCGACGACAGCTTGCATTTCGGCACAGTTGCGTCTGGAGAGCGGCAGTGGTGGGGCGTGAGGGTGGGCTCCGGTTGGGGGGCCGATTGTGAGAGGAATGGATTTGTGATGTGGGTAGTCCATGGTGTTCAGCAACGGTAGAGGCGTTCAGGCTCTCTTTGCACCGTCTTCCACTGAAGAATTAGTATGGGTAACACGGCGACTTCGAAGAAGGGAGATGCATCTGAGAATGGTATGAGTAGGGGCGAGTGTCGGGGTCCCCAAATGTGACTATGACGCATAACAGGTTTTGATCCCGGTTGGTCAATTTGTGTGTAAGGCTGTGTTCAATATATCTCTGAGGTGGCTATATCCATAGTCCCGTTTTTTCCTACATTTATGTTTAACTAGCCTTACAAAGGCATTTCTTGTATGTTGTAGAGGAGATTAAAAGTATCAGCGGTAAAAGCAATGTATGTGTATGACCCACATGATGTGCCGCTGTACAGGTGTGCACTTAAATCCACACCTTTTCGAATTCACCTCTTTTCGGCGATCAAATGTGGCTGTAGAGGCCACCACAGAATGTAGGGATAAAATCATACACAACTAAACAGATGAGCTATTGAAGAAGAATGACCTTTCCTAGCCCAATCTTAAGAAGACCCAGACTTCAAAAAATACATGTTATTGTAAGTTTTAAAAATGCAGCAAAATTAAGCCTTGCATCAGTTTGCAGATGTGTGCCTGGCTCTGCACCCTGATGTCTGTAGGCATCCTGTACAATTAATTTGTTTTACTATGCAAGTTAACCAAGCTGACACAAATTGAACCAAACCAAAACTGAGCCCAGCTGATGGCTACCTTAATCACACCATAGATGATGTCAAGTGACCTGTGTGCTGAAGATAGGTGAGGGGGAAAGTGGACCTAAGGCCCCCCCCCCCCCCTATGAACCAGCCCTTGCCCATCCTATGTGCCCAAACATGCAATTCCTGTCAGTGCTCCTAGGTGGCAATGTTAAAAGTTCAAAAATAAATTGAGTGGTGTATTCTTGCATGGATGCTTGAGATCTATATTATATTTTGGCTAAGGTCCCTTCATAGTGAAAACTCAGACTATTGTACCATGATTTTTTCTAATGTTAGGTGGGAAAGTACACCCTGACCAAAGCATTCACCATGAGAGCCTGCTTTTTGGCACATCCCCAATGTCTGAGAATTTTGTTTTTGTGAATGTGACTAACTTTGACAATATTGTCATGCTGATAATAGCAGGCACAAGTTCACATCTATTATGCTCGTGTGGTTATATTATCTCAGATGCAGTTCAAAATCCCTAGCTTATCTTGGCCTGGGCACAATGGTCATTGTTTCAAAATCATTATGGTTAGTGCCTAGAAAAGTTATTTTTGTAAGGTTATCTTACTGTGCATATACACAGGCTTCTATATAACAGTATTTGATGAGCACTTTTTGACCTAGGCTTAAATGTTTGGCTGCTAGGTAGTGATGTCATTTTACCTGTTTGTAATTATTATATTCAGTGGGGATGATTGTCTCTAAATGTGTGCTGTCTACCATTAACATTGTGTTATAAAACTGACAAGGTACATACCAAAAGGTTTTTGTACCTAACTGTTGAGTTTTATTACTGTCAGAATGTACACAGATCATCATGGTAACTTCCGGAGAAAATGTGTTAAACCCCATCCAATATCTTAATGATTATGAAGATTTGGCAAGTCAGTGAAGGCCAAGATTGGATCTGAAGGTGCTAAAATGCCCAAACTTGCATGAAACCAGGAACTTCAGATTGTACCCCTTTCATATTCAAGGTTTTTCCCAAACATACTTGCCATCATGCTAGAAGGTCCCAACTGCCCTGCAGTCAGATAGAACCACACAGTAGAGGCAGTGACAATGAAAATCACACACCCATGCTCACATGCACACACATATACATACCTGTTGTATGTGGCCTTTTGTAAATGTGTAAGATTGCAGGTGTCCCACTGAGGGTAGATAGAATTGGACATGTGTTATGGTGTCACTGTCCACATCCCCAGTGCAAAAGACTAAGATATCCCACACATACTAGGTTGTGTTGATTGCTGGCTGGTGGCATGCATTACAGGTGCCAACTGCTTTGGGTGTCAGTATGCTCAATGTTTCTGTGCTACATTGGTTGTCTGTGGGAAGGGACCATGCTCCAAACATTGAAATGTCCCCAGATAGGTTTGTGCAGCAGTAATATTACATTATTGCCAATGTTGGCAGTAATTGATGGATGAAAACATTGCCCTAGTCAAAATTTTGTATTGTTGAATTGTCTCCCTGTAGCCTAAGATAAATTTGCCAAAACTAAATAAGACCAAGCATAACCAAACAACCAGATGTACCAAAAGAATTTTGAGTTGTTAGAAAGCTATTCCAAACACTTTTGAATGTTTTTGCTTATTTTGCTTTGTTCCACAGTACTTATGCAAAGTTTGGCCTTGACATGGGCATTCTGGGATGAAATTATGCAGCAGTGGTCATAAAGTGAGTGCAACAAAGTCTAAGCCCCAGGTTTCCATAGTTGATTATTTTTGGTGAAAATCACACAATCCTCATGTTTTATCTTGCAACAAGATGCTGTTAAAGCCATAGGCAGGTTGCAAACTGTGTTGGTAAAAGTGGGTGATTTGTATTGTGTTCCTGTTTAGTTCCAGCTCAGTCATGATTTACTTGAAAGTGGCAAGTCTTGGTTATTTGACCATTTCATAAGTGGGTTTGAGTCCAACCCACTAACTGATTCCACAACAAAGTGATTGATCTAGGATTGAGCTTGTCTTTGGTTGTCTCGTCCACCAGCTCCTTGGCCTACCCTGAATGGGGCGGACTGACTCACGGGCTTCGTACCGTACCCTGCACGGGGCCGGTTTGTGGGCCTTTCAAGGGGCCTGGTGTGCTGTTTCCTGCCTTGGGGCAATTGGCACACTTGTTATGAGGCCCACTGTACTGTGTACCCTATCCTGGGCCAGTTGGTGGGCCTGTTAAGGGGCCTGGTGGGCTGTGTACCTTGTCCTGGGCCTGTTGGTGGGTCTGTTCATAGGCCTGGTGTGCTGTGTACCCTGTCCCCGGGCCAGTTGGTGGGCCTGTTAAGGGGCCTGGTAGGCTGTCTCCTCATCCTGGGTCGGTTGGTGGGCCTGTTAAGGGGCCTGGTGGGCTGTGTACCCTGTCCTGGGCTGGTTGGTGGGGCTGTTCTGGGGCCTGGTATGCTGTGTGCCCTGTCCTGGGCCGGTTAGTGGGTCTGTTCAGGGGCCCGGCGTACTGTGCACCTTGTTCGGGGCCAGTCGGGGCCTGTTCAGCGGCCCGGTGTGCTGTGTACCCTGTCCTGGGCCGGTTGGTGGGCCTGTTCTGGGGCCTGGTGTGCCGTGTGCCTTGTCCTGGGCGGGTTGGTGGGCCTGTTACGGGGCTTGGTGTGCTGTGTACCCTGTCCGGGGGCAGTTGGGGCCTGTTCAGCGGCCCGGTATGCTGTGCACACTAGCCGTCGGCTGCACACGACTTTTTGTGGGTGGCGCTGTTTGCCAACGCTGATGGACTGTGCGCTGATGAGCCGGGCCCCGCGGCTGGTGTTGTTGACAAGGCGGGCGGTAGCGAGGCGCCAAGGGCGCAGCGCGGCTCATGCCCGCGACTCCACTTGGTGGAATGGGTGTGGGGGGGGGGGGGGCCTGGGCAGGGTGCGTCCCCACTGTGAGCGTACCGGACCGCCTCGTGCGGCAGATGACTTATGTTTGCTGCGAGGTTCCTTTGTCAAACGGGTGATAGGCAATTGTGTTCAATGGAAGGGATTTATTGCAGTGCTGTATGTTTTGTTGGACAGGCATTCCATGGCGGCGTGAGTCGAGAACGTTTCTGTTACTATGTTTTGTTTTTTTTCAGTCAAAGAGTTCCTGGAGAAAGCAAAGGAAGACTTCGAAGAGAAATGGAAAAACCCCTCGAAGGTATGCCCGTGTGGTGCTTAAACTCCTCGTAGAGCAGATACAAGGGCGTGCAAGCCAGATATGCGACTGTGCTGTCTGTCTCTGATAATGTAGCCTCCGTCAGCTGGTTGACCGTAACATCGCTGCGCATTGCGAAATGACATACGACGCCGCAAGACCGTCGCTAACCGTCGCAAACACGCTTCCAACTGCGCCGCGGCCGCGGGCGACGACAAACGTCCCTGTTTCTGTGTCGCCTCCCGACAGCATGCTGGTTCGCCACGCTGAGGGTGCCGCGGCGTGGTAAGGCTGCGCCGCCGGGGGTTTTCTGGCGGCGTGCGGCCCGGCCCGGCCCGGCGCTGAGCCCGGAACCGAGTGGCGATGGGAGACCGGCAGCTGCCGGCCGCCTGACACCGGAGCTGGCGGCGCCGGCCGCCCCCGGCCACCTGTGCGACCCGAGCCGGAGCCGCGCCGCCGGGCCGGGCCGGCCGAGGCGGCGTCCGCGTGCGCTGGCAACACCTGGGCCGTTCGTCTCGGGCCGGCGCGCTGGCCGGGCGCGGGGTCGCTGGCTGAACGCCACGACAATCTAAGCTGGACCACGACTGCGTTGGAGCAGTGCGGTTCGAAGGATTGCGGTGCGCCGCGGTTCGTCTCTGTGTGCGCCAAACTGTTATCATGGCCATCCACTACTCGGTTCTAACGGCCACTGACGTATCCGCAGATAGCACATTTATGGGGTCTCGTTGGTGGCTCCTTATGAGCGAGAAAGGCCTTGAGCCCCAGGTTTTTCGACGCTACGAGTCGAGAGTTCTTTCGCCGACAGTTGGGTATATTTTAGAAATTCGACATTTAAGTTGTACGAACGGTGATGAGCAGGGGCAGGCGAAAAGGGTATTCAAAAAGTAATACTCCACGATATAGAACTAAAGCGCATGGACTCCCGTGACCTTGAGCGCAGCCTGAAATGTCGAGTGATAAAAATATAGCCAATGTTTGGTTGATGGCGTCGCTGAATCTGTTGAGAGACCATAATTGTCAGTCGAGTCTTCGCTTGCGTCGAGCTTCGAGCGCTGATTGGTCGTGTTTCAGCCCACTCGCTTTGCTGCCGGTGCGAACTGCTCAAAATGACTGTTACGGTCGGCGTACCGTGAAACACCAATAAACAATAGGAGCCCGGAATCGGTGCGTGATTCTGTGCGCATCCGGTCCGGTGCGGGATTGGCTGCGTGGGTTCAGGCGCGATATGTGATTGGCTGCGTGGGTCGAGGCGTGGCGTGTGATTGGCTGCGTGGGTCCAGGCCCGGTATGTGGTTGGCTGCGTGGGTTCTGGCCCGGTGTGTGATTGGCTGCGTGGGTCCGGGTCCGGTATGTGATTGGCTGCGTGGGTCCGTGCTCGGTAGGTAATTGGCTGCGTGGGTCCGGGCTCGGTGTTTGATTGGCTGCGTGGGTCCGGGTCTGATATGTAATTGGCTGTGTGGGTCCGGGTCCGGTGCGGGATGGTCCATGTACGTGCGATTCCTGTGGTGTGGCTGATTATGTACGCAGCTCGGTGGGGGCGGGGGGTGGGCGTGGGGCGCCCTTCCAGCGGCGGCCGTGGTGTGGGCAGGTCCGCTCTTCCTGACCTGGTCTGACCTGCCCTGACCTCGGCTGCCGCCAGAACACGGCGGCACTCGAGGACTTCGACCTGCTGAAGACCCTGGGCACCGGCTCCTTTGGCCGTGTGATGCTCGTCCAGCACAAGGCGTGCAAGGAGTACTACGCCATGAAAATACTAGACAAACAGAAGGTTAGTGGCCGCCGGGACTGACCGACGTGGCTCGAGTGCGGGCCCCGGGGTCAGCGGAGCGCAAGGTTCTACGGCTGGCACACGCACGCAGATACGGGACCGTGCGTGTTGTGAACTTGCGCCTACGTACTGAAAACAGCCAACTCCTGGGTAGACAGCCGCCACTCGTGTTGTGTTGACTATCTGAGGTGTCTTTGTTTAGCTGCTTCCGCCTCCTATAACAGAAGAAAAAGTGCGGGCAAAGCCACTTGTTCAGTCGAGTGCAGGAGGATTGTAGCTCCCTATTCCTATTCCATACTACACTCTACCCCCATCTTTAGAAGAAAATGAGCCAAGTATGTGAAGACACGTGTATTTTGTGCCTTTTTGGTGGTAGGTGTAGCCATTTCTTCACTGTTCAGCCCCTCCCTCAGCATATTTTGCGAAACTAACCCACTGCAGCACAGCAGGATGTCTGCAAAGTGCATTCAAAACCATGGTTTGTTTCACGGTATTCAGTTTTGGGTATGGTCGAACATAGGGACCAAAGCCGCCTCCCATGAGATGGGCGAAGTCGTCAGGGCCTTGCTGTTGCCGAAAACAGGAGCCGGTTTTCGGTGACTGCCGAGCCGTGTGCGGACGCCGGTCACGTGCCTGCTCTGCAGGCGCTGGGCGGGACCAGTCTGAAAGATTTGTTACTCTGGAGCGATGTTTTTCCATCGGAGAGGCGGTTGGGAATCAGCCAAGTTGTTTCTGAAAGGCTCCTCTGAGTGGAGGGCGTTATGGGTTTATTCGCACCAGACGCTGAGCTTCATTGCTGTGATGGGTTCAGCTGCAAAGTCGCTGATAAGGTCAAGCGCCGTGTGGTTGGGTGTCACGGGATGTTCTGCCTCTTGGCATCATTGCTGCAGCAAGTGCTGAATGTCAGTTCAGTGATGCTCCTCTCTGAGGAGACCCTCGCGTGCCGCGGCAGCTATCTGCAGTCCAATCGCGGCACACCGTCGCTGCGTCGCGATTGCATTCATCTCTGTCCGCCCCGCGGTTCTGCGGTGATCCGGTGTTGGCGCCGGCGCCGTGGCCACTCTTCACTCTCCACTCTCCACCCTCTCCAGCCGGCACGGCGCGTCCCGACGGCCGTGCGGGCTGGAGAACGAGGCCGAGCTGTCCGGCGGACCGGCAGTCGTGTGACGAAGGCGTCCCGGAGCGAGCCGTGGAGGCCGGTCGGCCGGCGAGCTCTGCATCCCTCCTGCCGGCATGTGTCAAGCTGCAGGGCGATGGGTTCATTCAGCGTCCATGAAGCGGGGGGGGGGGGGGGGGACTGGCGGCTGCTATTTCGGCACCCGCCGCGGTCGTGGCTGGGAAATGCGAGCCGAGAGCCGGCGCGCCGGGCCCAGCCCAGCGGGCCGGCGCCGTGTCGCCCGTCGCCGCACGTCCGCCGCCTGCCACGCCGTGAGCCGGCGGCGGGCGGCCGACGCCTCCTGCAGCCGCGGCCGCCACCGCATCGGGACACGCCGGCTCCGGCGGCGTCCGTGAGGTCGGCTGCGCGTCCCCGAAAAACGGCGGTGGAACAGAGCGTTTTCACTTGCGTCGAAGCTGGGATCCACCTGCCGCTGGCTGACGCTAGCACCACCCGCCGCGACCTAATGCGTCGGCGCCGCGCGATGTGTATGTTCAGCGCCCTCCCACTGCTGCGGTTTGTTTGTCAGTGTTTGGTGTTATTAATTGCTGGAAGCTCGTTTTGAGCGATCTGTAGCGACTATTTCAACCATTTCTGTGAGCTAATTTGCCTGCCCATTTGCCACATCGCTTTGGGCATTTCTTTGCGCAGGGAGCGTCATTCAGTCTGTTTAATGGCGGGCATGCGTGCTCCTGATATCTTTCACGACACATCATCGATGACATCAATATCATTTGCTTTAGTTGTGAGATTGGGTACATCTCAAGACAAGATGGTGTCAACCAAAGGCCTGTGAACGCGAATAGTTTCCACTATTCAGTGTAGGGTAGAAAACCTTTGTTGTGACCGCCAGCAGGCTGTGCTGTGGCCGACAGCAGGCTCTGCCGTGGCCGACAGCAGGCTCCGTCGTGGCCTACAGCAGGCTGTGCTGTGGCCGACAGCAAGCTCTGCTGTGGCCGACAGCAGGCTCTGTCGTGGCCGACAGCAGGCTGATGGGCGCAAAATGACCGCAGTAGTCGACGCGCCCTAAAACTCCAATCAACAACAACAGCAGGCTGTGCTGTGGCCGACAGCAGGCTCTGCCGTGGCCGACAGCAGGCTGTGCTGTGGCCGACAGCAGGGTCTGTCGTGGCCGACAGCAGGCTGTGCTGTGGCCGACAGCAGGCTCTGCCGTGGCCGACAGCAGGGTCTGTCGTGGCCGACAGCAGGCTCTGCCGTGGCCGACAGCAGGCTCTGCCGTGGCCAACAGCAGGCTCCGTCGTGGCCTACAGCAGGCTGTGCTGTGGCCGACAGCAGGCTCTGTCTTGGCCGACAGCAGGCTGTGCTGTGGCCGACAGCAGGCTCTGCCGTGGCCGACAGCAGGCTTTGTCGTGGCCGACAGCAGGCTCTACCGGCCCCGTGGCCGACAGCAGGCTCTGCCGTGGCCGACAGCAGGCTCTGCCGTGGCCGACAGCAGGCTCTGCCGTGGCCAACAGCAGGCTCTATCGTGGCCTACAGTAGGCTGCGTTGTGGCCGACAGCAGGCTCTGCCGTGGCTGACAGCAGGCTCTGCAGTGGTCACGCCTCCTCTGGCCGGTACAGCCAGGCGGCCCGGTGGCACCGCCGATCAATACTGGCCGCCGGTCGGCCGCGAACCTCCAACCGACGTGCAACGGCTGCGGCTCGCTCAGGCTCCGGCTCCGGCTCCGGCTCCGGCAGGGGCCGCCGCAGCTGACCGGCCACCAGTACAGCAGCGAAACACCGGCAGCGGGCCTCAGCCATGAGCAGCAGACGCACGGCGAAGAACGCTCTCGCAGCTGAGCTGTGTATTCGGAGCACGCGGTCGGTCCTCAGCCAGTCGTTATTGAGAACACCGGTGCGAGCACCAGCTGCCAGAGATGGCCACTTCTGCTGGGTCGTCGGCCGGTCTTACCCTTGAGTGCTGCACTAAGCGCCCATTCTCACGGATGGCCTGCTGGAAACGGCAGGTGATGGGTGCCAAGAACTGAGAGCTGCCAATGTTCTGCTTATAAACGGGCGTAAGTGACGAAGACAGGTGAGGGAATTTTGTGGCGAGTGGTGGATGCGTTGATTTACTCCACGCATCTTTTAACGACGTTGTGCTTTGTGGTCAACCAGTTATTTTCACCAAAGTTATTTCATGGAGGCACTGTATAAATGCTGTGCTGTGCTGTATAAATGCTGGCGCTGAACGTATCACTCATGTTGGTTTTGCGTCCATGCAAGTTCCAAAGTGACGGAAGCAATTCCGAACTGGTCTGATCAAGTTGATAATACATGAAGAGAGCTTCGTGAAAAGCACTGCCTGTAGTCGGTGTGAGACTTATTCGTCTACGTGAAAAGTCTGACTTGCGGTCATTGACCCAGGCGGCAATCATGACCTCGAGATTGCGGTTGCGGTATTTTATCACATCCGAAGCAAACGGGTATGATTCACGCCATTTTAACCGTTAGAGGGAGAGGGAGAGGGAGAGAGATTATATATATATATATATATATATGTATGTATATATATATATATATGTATATATATATATATATATATATATATATATATATATATATATGTATGTATATATATATATATATATATATATGTATGTATATATATATTTCGCTCTCTCTCTCTCTCTCTCTCTCAATAATGTGTGAAATGTACTACTAAATTAGATAAATACTACACACTAGACAGATTTCTGGAACTTGATTGCCAGTAAAAAAGCTAACGGAATTGAACCAAAGCCAGACAAAGTAAGCGATTTGCTCAAAATTATGCGTCAAATGCGTTTAACAATGATTCGCCGAGTCTGCAAGGAAGCTTTCTGCAGTTTTCAAACACATGATTGACCCGACGCAGGTGATTGAAGTAGGATGACATGGGGTCAATCATTTGACTCAATGTGTAGATATGGCGTAAACTATCATTTGCTGAACTTTACGTTTGCATGTGTGTATTAGTTTGGTTCCATCGTTGAAAAACCTTGAGTGGGGTCATAAGAGACCCCGCCCCAAAGGGTACGATTATGAAACTCCTCTTACCGTTTTGCCTTTCCTCCCCAGGAGTTCCACATCCTATCCTCCCACCACCAACCAGCTGGCCGAGATCCTGTCTGCTGAGGAGCCTCCTGACAGCCGCGGTGACGACTGCCCTGCGGGCCGGCTGCTGCGCGCGCCGCGGCCAGCTGGTGGGACCCGACGTGGCGTCGGAGCCGCCGCCGGGCCGGGACAGGCAGGTTGCTGCTCTCTCCGCGGTCCCTCCGGCTCGGCTGGGCCTCGGTCCCAGCCTCGCTGCTGATTGGTGGGGCCTGTGGCACCAGCCGTGCTGACCTCAGCGGCACCGAGGTCTCGCGGGTTCGCCGTGGTGCCGCACGCCGCACGGGCTTGACGACTCCCTACTGCACACAACTCAGTCGAAACTGTCAGTGATGAGATTCACCATCGGGAACGAGGGGATATTAGTGGGTTCTATAACGTTAGATATTGTACTAGTTGCCTTTAGCCTATCCAATGACGGTATGATTCACACATTTTTGTGTCTAATTCACCCGCCAAGATCCGTTTTGGCCTGAGGTCGTGCCATTCTCTCCTTCCGACGTGGCCAGTTTCGTGCGGCTCCCGTATTCCTGTTGCAGTACATGCAGTATGCATTATTTTTACACCCATACGTACACCAGGCGTTGGCGTGCGTGCGTGCTAATAATTACTATATTAACAGGGTGTGATCGATACGCGTAACCACAGGTGTAGTTGCCGCGGTGAATGTGCCCATTGATGCGCCATCTAACGTTGTCGGGGTTGTGGTTGGTCTTGCGGTTGTCGTGGACTGCGCTGAGTGGACTGACAGC